TTTGAGAGGGTGGCCTGGACCCCCAGGCCCCCCCAGGGCCCCCCGCAGGACTGCTTTGCCTGCATCGCCAAGCCCCCAGCTCTCCGGCAAGCTTCACCTGTCCTGTCTCCTTCTTCTGCTGTTTATCTCATGGAGAGCAAGAGCTGTAAAGGGGATAGCCTGCGGCCGGCGGTCCCGTGCAAGCACTCAGTGGAGAAGAAGACAATGACCAACCCCACCACCGTCATTGAAATCTACCCCGACACCACCGAGGTGAACGACTACTATCTCTGGTCCATCTTCAACTTCGTATACCTCAACTTCTGCTGCCTCGGCTTCATCGCCTTGGCCTATTCATTGAAAGTGAGTACGGAGGGTGAGGCGCAGGGCAAGGGGTGGCTGGAGGGGAGGGGAAGCATTTGGGGGTCACATCTCATGTAAATCACATCTTTGCCACCCAAATGAGAGGTTGCAGCCACTGGGGATGGGGATAGAGAGAGCCGAGGTGTGTTTTGGAGCCAGTGATGTTGCTTCAGGTGGAGAAGAGGTGTTTTGACTTGCTCCAGTAGCCTCAGAGGCTCCTCTGTACCGTGACGGCAGGGTGACAGGCAGGCAACGCAGGGCTGGCTTGACTCGTGCTGCACCCGCACACACCCCGGCACTCGGTCCCTTCTTTGGGATCCTATCAGTTAGTGATCTTGTCAGAGTAGGAGCCGGCAGTGTCGGATGGTCAGGCAGAAGCAATAAGAAGCAGCTGGCCAGGATCATCCAGTGCCTGGAGAGTTGCAGGGGGGAGAGGCTGCCAAGGTGCAGGGCAATCCTGCCTGTTTCCTTCTTGCCCTCTCCCTAATCAAAACACCAGAGCTGGTGGCCAGCTCCACACACACACCTGCCCTGAGCCCTATAAATCCCAAGGAAAGTCCTGGAGACCTGCCAGCATCGTAAGAACAAGCCCTGGGTAGCTGAGGAGGGGAAAGAGAGTGCAGAGGGGCTTTGCACAGTGTTGGGGCTGGGGGGAAATAGAGCCGTGTTGATGGAGAGGGTGATGCTGTAGAGCACAGCTGGCAAAGGGGACGGGACTGGGTTACTCCCAGTAGCTGCAGGGGAAAGCAGCCCAGCAGGGATGGCACCCAGCAAACAGGCAGCCCCTCGGCAGCTGCCAGCAGAGAGGGGCCTGGGCTGCCCTCCCCTTCCCTGCCTGCCAGCCTCAAAACTAACTGAATGGATGTGGAGAGAGCCCGGGGCAGCTGGGTGGTCCCGCAGAGGAGCTAGCTGATTTGTTTTGGCAGGCAGCGTTTAGAGGAAGGCCAGGTCACAGCCGGACTGGCTTCGTCACAAAAGCAGATCAATTAACCCCATCCAGCTCACGTGAGCTGGACTGTGAGTGCCCAGCACTGCAAGGAGGCTGCTCCCGAGCCCGTCAGGGTCTCTCGCAGAAAGGCTCAGGGTCAAGTCCATGGACCCATGCCCTGGGCTCAGCCAGCACTGGCACTGTGGTGCCTGCCTCAGTTTCCCCTTCCTCAAGATGGGTGATGAGTACCCATCCAGGCTTCACTGCTGCCCGGGTGAAGCATTTAATAGCTCATGTCATGCTGGGGCTGAGCATCACCACAAGCAGGACTGACCCAAGGGCAAATCCAGGCAGTGGCAGCCTAACATAGGTGGGGGGAGGGAGTCCCTTAACACCCCCACGCATTTAGCCATCGAGGGAAGAAACTGGCTTCCTCCATTTTTTTGTGTCTTTGCTCGTCTGGATTTGCGTTTAACAATCGGCATCTTTCCCATGCAAGAGGCAGGCTAAGAAAGGGTTTCACATCACGGGGACACAGCAGTAGCTACAGCAGGTATCTGGGTAGATGTGGTCCCTCACCTGCAGCCAGCAGTGGGGGCAGGAAGCCTGAGGACGCGGCTGACCCATCCCCAGGGGACAGGACAGAGTAGGGTCTGCCACCTACAAGTTTTTTAAAGGCTGGACCCTTCACTATGCTTGACACGAGGTCGAAGGAAGGGCAAAGCCCAGAAGTAACTCGGGCTGGAGCCTCGTGCCGGGGCAGAGGCATGGGCTCAGCATCCAGCTGCAAAGGTCTAGAGGACATAAACTCCAGTGTGAAAAAAAGAAACAGTGGCGAGGGAAGGCAAATGGGCAAACATGCTCCAAATCAGGGAAAGGAAAATAGAAGATGGCTGTCAAACAGCCTTGGCTTTTGGACTGTGGAGGCGGTAGCTGATCAGATGTAGTGGTGGTACCTGAACAGACACAGAGCTGAGCGGGTAGGAATAACTCTGGTCTGGTCTTGGAGCTTCCCAGTGGCTGTGACTCTGTGGCAGGGGGAAAATAGAAACAAAATGTCCTTCAGAGGCACAGGACAGAACTAGCAAGTGGCCAAAGGGATGGTGAAGGCCCTTGCAAACTGCTGTTGGGATGGGTAGTGGGAGGCAACAGGGATGCTGGGGCAGAAGCAGACTGTCCTGCGGAAGACCACTGGGATGTTAAGAAAGATGGGATCCTTCCTCACTCACAGCTACTGCAGAGACCTTCACAACATCCCAGCTAGGCTGGATGTTAGGGTCATTTTGCCTGTTGTTTTCATCCTTTTTACAGTCAATAAGGTTCTGTTCAGAGAAAACAGAAGCAAGGAATGCCCTGGGGACAGATGTCCCTTTAAACAGACTTCTCTTGTTCCTCTGCAATTAAATGTAAGGACAATTTAGCAGCAGATAACTTAAGTCCCAGCCTTTCTAGGATGTCTGTGCTGTGCAGAGACCAAGTTAGGTGCTGTGGGAGGGAGAGGAGGGGAGCAGCACCTTCCCCTCTGTGAGTCCAGTCTGGGACCTCTGACAGCAGAGCCCTCCGCCAGTGGAGCACAGGTTTCCTAGCTGAAGGGCCATCATGGTGCTGATGGCATTAAAAGGTTCCCAGGTTATGGTTTTTCCATTTCCTTCAAGTAACTGAAACATCTAGCAACCTCAGGAATCATCATTTTCATTATCAGAAATAGCACTTTCAATACCCTGCCATAAACATCATCTGCTTTTGCCAGATTCATACCGTTAATAAAGCAGTAGCTCCTTCGAGCCTCAAGTCCATGAGATGCTTCATTATGGACCTCAGCACGCACTAGTATTTCCACCAGTTTCAGCAGCACAATGCCTATGCTGGAAACCAGATGTATGCTTAGGTACACTTGAATATTACTATAAAGCTGTCTTCTTCCCCGTGACCACTTTTATTGGTTTCAGCTGCAGCTGGAGAAACAGTACCTCCATGTCTGCCTGGCCTTTTGCACATGAGCTGCAGCCTTCTAGATTTCTTTCTGCAGGGAAATGCTATTTCGTGGTGACCACCATTTACTAAAAAATGCCAAAAACCCACCCCAGCACCAAAGAATTTATGCACTTACTCAAAGAAACTCAAAGTCAGGTGAGGGCAAAGACTGTGACATCCCAGCCAAGTGCTCTGTGTGACAGACACCCCAGCCAAGTGCTCTGAATAACAGTGTGATGGCACACCTCATCTTTATTTACACCTGTAGTGGTCCAGATCCTCAGCAGATACAGCTTGCTGGGCTGCAATGGAGTCGCACCAACTCACGTATCCCTCTGGGCATTATTTCTAGCATCTCAGGCTTCTCAAGGTCAGCCTCCCGCATTGCAAGCAAGGCACTTGCATGTAAGCATGCATTGATGCTGGGGAAGAAGAGATAAACTGCAGGACCAGGGAAGTTAGAAACCCTGAAGTAACCTTAACCCCAGCCCAGCACAGATGCAAGGATCGCTCCAATGGCAACGCTTTGGATTCTGTTGATTTTCATCAGGAGCAAATGCCGTAGCCCAGTATTTGGCAGCTCCCTCCCCTCCTCTTTCCCAGCTCCAAGCGGTAATTAATGATGCATAAGCGCCTGGTGGCAGGAGATCTTGCTTCAGCCGTTAGGAGGTCTGTCTCTGGAGACCACCAGAGTGAGCCAGGTCCTTCTCAGTATCCATTATGCCATGAGGTGGTAGATCAGAGGAGCTGAGATGAGTCTCAGTACGGATGCCATGTTGTAGTTGTATGGAGTCGAAGATGGCAAGAAGCCCTGCTGGCTTTTTAAGACCCACCAGCAGTCCGCAGGGTTGATTGCAGAGTTTTCCTGCCCCTCGAGGCCACCAAAATTTGCAGTGTGATAGCACCCCAGGAGACCTGAGCTCTCCTGCCTGCTCTCTGCCCAGCCCTTAGCACACAGCTCTGGGCATGGCTGTTTACCTTCCCCTTTTGCCATGTGTTGACCTTCCCCATTTCAAGTGGAAGCAGACTGGTACAAATCTGTAGCTATTTATTAACCCCAAAAAGCAGAGAGGCTGCAGCACCCAACCTCTCAGGCAGGCTCTCAGCCCACTCTTCAAGAGAGCAATGGTTTATGGAGGTGGGTGAAATGCAGAGGCAACAGCCCTCTGACGCCGGTGCCAGCATGGTGGAGGTATGTGGGCTGGAGAGCTCTTGACCATTTCACAGAGCAAATAAATCCAAGGATCCTCTCCAGTGCTCCTCATGTGTAGGGACGCAGAGCTCTGTACAGAAATGGGTTTACAGACAACCAGCTGTGGGCTGCACGCTAAAAGCTGGGCTGCCTTAAATACAGCCCCATTAGGCTCGTTATCAACAAACCATTCGTCTCCTCCTGCAAACTGAGGCAGCACTTTGTACCCACAAACCAAGTTCCCTGCTCCCAAAAATGAGAGGGGCCAAGCCCCAGAGCAGAAAGGGGGGAGGTAGCTGCTGGGGAAGGGATCAGTAAAAAGTGGGGTGGTAGGAGTCAAGGGGTGTGCTTGGAGAGGAAGCTGAAGGCAAAGACCTAAGGGGAGGAAGGACAGGAGATTGTGGTCAGAGGGAGTAGAGAAAGAGCCCTCAGGCAGCACGCTGGAGGTGTTGGAGGACAACGTGAGCTGGAGATGTTGAAGGACAAAATGACCAGGAGATGGTGGAGGACAAAGTGAGCTAGAGGTGGTGGAGGACAAAGTGAGCAGCAGGGAGGTGACAGACAAGCAGGAACGGAGGGAAAGGCCACCACTGCCTTTCGCTGGTGGGAGAGGGGAGGAGGAACGTTTGCATGTTAAATGACAAAAGTGGGCTGTGTTTCGTGGAAGAGGAAGGAAAAGGGAAGGAAACATGTAAGTTATCAAGACGGACCAGAAATGAGCTTTGCCTTGTCCAGGGTGGGATGTCCAAAAGGGCCAGCAAGCAGCATTTTGGGGTGCCTGGGGAAACCCTGCAGTCAGCAGATGCAGGATAATTATCCTTACACATCAGTCATCTCAGTGCAAAGCAGGGCCAAAACTCCTCAAATCATTTTACGCAAGGCCAGAAAGGGCAAAGTGATGATGAGAAAAGAGTTTGTGACTAAGGAAACACCACACTTGGGTTTGGGGGGGTTCAGCCTTGTGACCTTGGGGACCTGTTCTCCCCATGCCTCAACTGCTTGGCTGTGGAAGGAAGCAACTTCCAGGGTTGCCAAGAAGCTTGTGCACCAGCTGCCAGCACATTATGGTAATGATGGCCGGAGGAGCATGAAAATAGGAAAAGGTGAGGCTGGACTATGAGAAAGACACAGGCATCTCCTTAAGGACAGAGCAGGGAAGGAGCCAAAACATGTATCTGCTCTCCAGCAGAGCTCCTCCTCCAGAGCCTGGCTTGGATGCCGCAGCAGGATATTGAAGGGAGATGCCTGTGAGCATCTGGAGATGCAAGGCCAGGCGAGAGGAGGTGAGGCCACCCTGGAAAGATGCGGGAAGTCGGGGCTGTGGGTGGTTTGGAAAGAGAAATGTCTTTTCATTGCACTTGTGTGCTGCAGGGGCCCTGGCACTTGTCCGGTGCTTAGAGGCTCTGTTGCAATATAAATTATAATGGACAATAAGGGATGATTTGCATGAAGGTGACCACTGAAGCCGTAGGCTGTATGGGGAAAAAATAAGGGAGGAGAGGAAGGGGACCAAGGACTCGGCAAGGACGAGGGATCCAGGTTACCAAGGCCAGAGCAGCCGGAGGAGAGCTAGGGAAGGGAAAGGGCAGGAAAAGGGCAGGAGGCTGCTGGACACAGGGAATGCCAGCAAAGCAGTGTGTGCCTCATGGGTTGGCATGAGCAGATGGGGCCAGCCAGAGGGGCAGGGAGAGAAGGCAGCTGGGTGCCCTTTGGCAGGAGTCGAAGGCATGTCCGTATCACTGTTTGGGCCCAAACAGCAAGAAAGAGAAGAGATGGGAGGCCAAAAAAAAGGATCTGGGAGGAAATGGTGGCACTGAGGAGAGGGCAGGCCTGAGCACCCCTCGCTAGAGATGCTGAGGAGCAGCAGGACTGGAGAAGGGACAGAGGGACAGCCATGGGAAAGTCGAGGGCAGGCGCTGCTGAAGTGAGCCATGGAAAGCTAAAGTGCCAGTCATGAGTGCGAGCTGGTGTCAGGTGGGAATGGCTGCTGGGAGCACTGGGAGAGGGCTGGGCATGGAAATTAGGGAAGAAGGGCACTCCAGGGAAAGA